TGGCATCCCATATAGGATATAGCGATGCTGAGGGTTGGGTGAGAAGTTCCCAAAATTGTTCCAGTTTACCAGATCCCATGACAACTGATGGTGCTACGCTAACAACCTTAGTACGCTATTGGCCACGCTATGCTAACAGCCTTGCTATGCTATAGGTTGTGCTACACTAACAATCTTGCTGTGCTGTTACACCCGGGCCCCTCACTAAAGCAAGCACCCAAAGAGGGTGAATTCAGGGGTCACGCTTGCCGGCCCTTAGAGTGGAGTGTGTGGAGTTTAATGTATGTAAATAGTGTGTGAGTGTGTGTCCCATCCTGGGTGTCCCCTGCCTTGCTGGGACAGGTTCCCCTGCTGGACAGGCAGCTGAATTCCTTGCTGGTGTCTCCCTTTTGCAGGTATCTCTATGGCTTTGAGGAATACTGCTCCTCATCTGGGATCTCCTTCAAGATGGACCTCCCTCAAAAGCCAGTTGAAAAGCAGAGCCACAAGACGGACGGGGTAAAGGCCGAGATGGACGGAACGGGCTCTTCAGATGCCCCCCCGACCCCCAGGCCCCCCAGCCCCCGGCCCCCGGTGGAGCCGAGCCCTTGTGAGGAGGAGCGGCCACAAGTCACACAGCCTGTTGGCTGCAAGGTGACCTGCCCCCTACTCCTCCCACCCATTGTGGGGAGGGAACCACTGGGGAAGGGAGGGGCATGGGGTTAAATCATTCTGCTCTGTGCAGGAGGAGAAGACCACGAGTGCCAGCGGGCCGGGCGACAATGAGCCAGCGGCCCTCAGTCCAGAGAAGGAGGAGGAGGAGCAGGAAGAAGAGGAGGAGGGCAAGGACTCTGTGAGGAAGGATGATGGACACGGGGACTGTGGTCCAGGAATGGAAGATGTGAAGCTGGAGGAACATGGCGAACAGGAGACACAAGAGAAACAGGGGTATGTCCCCCTGCCCAACCTCCCCCCCCGCCCCGCTTCACATGCTGGCTGAGGGGGCATCCCTCCTCTTCCTCCTCCACAGCCCATTCCCCCCCTCCTCTTCAGCCTGTTCCCCTTCCTCCTCCCCTTCCTCCTCCGTACCTCATCCCCTTCCTCAGCCCGTTCCCCCCTCTTCCTCACCCTCCTCAGCCCATTCCCCCATTTCCCCCCTCTTCCTCCCCCTCCTCAACCCGTTCCCCCTCCTCCTACCTTTGCTGGCAGCCTCCTTTGTTGTTGCTCCCTTTCATCAGTTTAGAAAAGGTGCGTCGCGGCTCTCAAGCCTCCAGTGCGGGGATCAGGCCTCAGCTCCTTGACCCCCAGGCTGCCGTTCTGGCTCTGGGTCTTTCCCTACTTTTCCCATAGCGTGTCCCCATTTACCGTGGTAATCAGGTCATGGCCATTGCTGGCTTAGTGCCTCAACCCTTTCCTAGCGTCCTCCATGGTGATTACGGCGAGGTCCTTGCTCGCCCGCCCGCCTGGCCACCCACTCGCTCTGTTCCTTCTGTGCTTTGATAGTC